GAATATCCGAGGAAAAACGCAGGAGAAAATGAGAAAATTTCCGTCCCGTGTCTTCTTTATTAATCATTATGCATAACAAAATTGTTGATGTATCTCAACTCTCGCAGAAGATCCTGCTCTGATCCTTCGTTGTACGCTTCGAGATTGGATACACACGACAGTATCAAATGTTATGTTCAAAAATAAGAAGTGTGTTCTGGAATAAAGCCTCCAGCGGGACAGCAGCGTTGGAAAAAGTTCACGATATTTCACGAAGTTCATCAAGGAAAAAGTTCGCGAGTCCTAGTGCGTTTTGGTGAACTTTTCCAATACTGAATATGAAGATTCATCAAGCTATAGATGCTCGATGCTCGTCGTTCCACAATTAAATCCGATCTTCGCAGGATGCATGGTAACTCTGCTGTTCTAGACGCTGCCAGATTCCTACGACCCTCTGGTAGCCGCTCTGGAAAACATTCCGGAGCAAGATATGAAAATCCGTTGTTGGCTGAAGACATGAAGCGTCAAGAGCGAAATGGAGAAGTTGGAAAGGCTTTTTCCGGTGACAAAACAAAAGACCCTTCATGTTTCATAAATGTGGCAAGCGTGGTCACCTCAAGAAGAACTGTCGCCAGAAGGTCGGTGGTGAAGCTAACTCGACGGCCAACGAGGCGACCAATCGGTTTTCGGTGGTCCGAAAAGTGAAGCAGCCGATCGTGATCAACGTGACCATTCTTGCGAAGACGGTCAGTGAAATCCAAGGCAACAGCAACAAACAATTCCCGTTGCACATGAAGGAAGTGCTGTACATCCCGGAGTTGCACTACAAGACTAGTTTGGCGGTGAAAGGGTACCTGCAGCGTCAGGCATGAAGAAACCTACGCTCCAGTCGCGAAGCTAACCGTACTGTTCTAGCTGTCGGCGTGCACCATCGAATCCTGTTCCTCCAGATAGGCGTCAAGATGGCGTTTCTTCCTGGTGATCTAAAGGAAGACATCTATATGTTGGTACCGGACGCCGTAGAAGCTGATGAAGGCATGGCAGGTGTGCAAGCTACAGAAGTCCTTGTACGGGTACGGATTAAAGCACTCTGCCTGCTGCTGGAATGAGCTCAATATGGGGTACTCCCGGTGATGCCACGACTACTGCTTGTATGTGAGATGTACACTAGGGGACGAGCTGATTAAAGAACGGACTCGGGAAAAATGCGACACTTTGTTTTGGGTGTAACTTTTTATCGCGTGGGTAATGAAATTTTGGGTAATACTAGTATAGAGTGTTATGTATATGTGTGCAAAATTTTATCGCGATCTGTCAAGTAGTTTTCAAGATGCATTCGAAACAAGAAGAGCTCGTGAGCGGTGATCGATAATCCTGGTCAGTCGCACAAATGAATCGGCAAAAGGCTTGGAATCCACCATTCCACTGTGTCCCGCGTTGTGAAGATGTTCCAGGAAACGACGACAATCGAGCGGCGCACTGGAAGCGGCCGAAAACCGAAAACGGAATACCCAGAGAAGGCGCGGAAGATAAGGCAGTACTTTAAGAATAACCCGAACCTTTCCACCCGAGACGTGGCCAAAAAGGTCGATTCGTCGAAGTGGTTCGTCCAGCAGACCATGGAGCGGGCTGGGCTACGTGTTTTTAAGGTCAGGAAGGCGCCAAACCGGACTGACAAGCAAATTGCGTGCGCGGAAGCTGTACCGTGAGTGGCTGGTCAAGCCAGGCTGTCTCGTCATGGACGACAAGACATACATCAAGGCGGACACCAAACAAATCCCCGGCCTCGAGTTTTTTGTCGGTACGTCCCGCATGGAGCTTCCGGAAAAGTTCCGGAAGAGAAAGATGGACAAATTCACGAAGAAGTACCTGTTGTGGTAGGCGATCAGCGAGTGCGGACGGTACAGCAAGCCGTTCGTTACAACCGGCACCATAAACGGGCAGATTTATCGAGAGGAATGCTTGCAGAAGCGCTTGCTGCCCTTCCTCCGCTCTCACCGTGGTCCCACGCTGTTCTGGCCGGATCTCGTTTCGAGCCATTACGCCAGAACTTCGTCCGATCGAAAAGTTTTGGGCGATAATGAAGAAGAAGTTGAAGAAAAGCGGAAAAACATTCAAAACCGATGAAGCTTTGAAGAAAATCTGGGAGAAATTGTGTAAGGAAGATGGGCAAAGCCTCGCCCAAGATCTCATGAGCAGTGTTAAGAGAAACGTACGAGCATTCAGCTTGGGGGAGGAAATTCAATAAATAAATTATGCCAAAACATAGCTAATAGGGGAATTTACGTATTCTCGTCAATCTAAGCAGCGTCCGAACTTCTATTAGCGATTTCTCAGCGTCACACACATACATGACAGGTTTATTTGTTGACATTTATCGACTGCTTGCTGTTCTACCAATTCCAATCGACAGAATTGATCAAAACGGGTTGAACATGTTTTTACAACGCTCCAAACTTCTCAGGTGAGAGTGACTATTGTCGGCAGTTTCTTTTTCTTCGGCACCCTTTCCATTTGAACTGCGTGTTAACCAGCTATTCTATTATCGGCAACTCGAAATCAGCCGTATTTTGTAGTATGTATATTTCATTTAAAGAAAAATATGGTATAACAGGAATTCACAGTCGTAAAAATGTAATCAGGTTGAAGCTGAAAAGGTAAGGAATCGGCTTAATACATTCAGCGAAGAGTTTTGATGGGAAAATACAGTGAAATAAACGTTTCAATTTCGGTTGCCGAAAACAGTCAATGGGTGCCGAAGCCATAATTTACCCTATATAGTTATTTAATCCCTGAAAATTTGAGAAGTATCCGATTTAAAATGAATTTTGGGGGATCATTTTTGTGTCTCATTTTTCCGAGTCCAGTCTTTATCATCATTTACGTCGACGACCTATTGATCGCTGGAAGGAAGCTGACTTCGATCTTGCGATACAAGAAGGAACAATCTGCCCTGTTCCAGATAACCGACAGCGGCGAGGTGAACTACTTACTGGGCATGAAACCCAAGTAATGAAGATCCTGCAGTAATTCGGAATGGTTAACTGGAACCCGTGCAAAACTCCGATGGAAAAAAGGTTCCAACTGAAACGTGGCGGACCAGCGACAAAGGAACCGTACAGAGAGTTTTTGGGAAGCATGATGTACACCATGTTGTGTGTGCGCCCGGACATTTGCTATCCGGAAAGCTACATGGGACGTTTTCAGCATAATCCGACCGATCAGTACTGGCAGACGTTAAAGTGGATCGTACAGTACAGTCGCGACGAAGCTGCAGCACCGCTGGTGGGCTTTGCAGACGCAGACTGAGCAGCGGATACCTAGGACCGAAAATCCATTATCGACTTCTTGTTCAAGGTCTTCGGAGCAACCGTGTCATGATCAAGCAAGAAGCAAACGACGGTGGCAACATCTTCAAGCGAGGCCGAATACATTGCCCTGAGCGCAGCAGCATTAGAAGCGATTTGGTGCGACTTTTAAGAACATTTCTCGGGAACCTAAGGAGGTTATCAGTTTTCTAATGTTAGCAATCTTTGAGCTCACGGTCCTCTATATCAACTGATCATACTTACTCCCTTCGACTTCCCTTTAGGTAGCTGTCCTAAAGTTGTCTCTGGACTGGCTCTTCATTCCTTTGAGCTTACCTTGGGTTCCTCTAGACTAAGGCACCCAAGGATCTTATGGCTGCTCATTTTTTGAACTATTGTAAACTCATTGCGATTTCCATGATTGAGCATGTCCTCTAGAAAAGAACGTTAACTGAAAAGACCTTAGGGGAACTTTTACCACTTTATTCCATCCGACGAAGTCATTATTCAGCGTTCTGCTTCCAATGTTTGTTGGCGGGCTACCGCGTTAACTACTCGCACGCTTTTCAATTAACTCTACGGCTGACAACGTGGTCAAACAAATTATTCACCGAAAAACTACACCAATTCCTGTGCGGCTCCAGCATTATCAATCTCAATGTTTACCCTGTTACACCCTTCATCCACCCACCAACCGCCATCATCGCCGGCGCGAAACGTGACAGCTTCGATTGATAAGAGTGTTCTATGCAGTCGGTCGATTCGGTCTTCGGTACTCGAAATGAAAACACTTCCAACTAGCTGTGACTCTGATGTGTGACGAGAATATATGACACCCATACGCACTCGGCGCTCCTAAAAATAACCCTCCTCTGATGGGTAATCGATCTCAGCCGACACGACTGTGAAAAAGGGCTACTTCGAGTGTTTACATTCGATCCGGTTGGTTGGGTAATGTGTCACACGAATGGCGACGAGGACTGGTGGTGGATAGAGGTGAATTTATATCGCTGCTGTTGATTTTTGTCGATTTCACCACCCAGCGCTAATTGTGCATAAGCCACCATCGTCGTGGTTGGGGGTTGGGCCAATAATGTCGTCACCGACGACTTTGCCTCTCTTTAATGTCCTGTTATATTTATATATTTCAGGACATTATCGTCGTCATATTATTTCGTTGAACTTTTAACGCGATCGAAGAAGGGGGCCAAGCCATTTATCCGCCGATTGTTGCGTCTGTCTATCGTTGTTTTTTTTTTATTTATGTACGTGTATATACGTAAACATGTACATTCTACTTGATGGCGGCGGTGTTAATAATAGAACAGATCGTTCAATTAGCCCAACTGAAAGCAAAAGTGTGCGCAAAACTCGAATTTCGTTACAGCGATGTCGGCTGATGCTATCATTCTACAAAGTCGACTGAGAGAAGGGAATGTCCGCCGCATTTTCTCGAAGACAAGTGGCACCTGATGACATTTTGTACTAGAAAAAAAAATCTTAGCTCCCTCAGCCTAGTGGGATTGGAAACTGCCGAAAGCTTCCCCAGCAACCTTGATTGGTTCTGAGGCGCCTCAATTGAATTCAATTGAGACAGATTGGACTTCTCTTCCTGCTTCACCACACACACACCCTCCTCAGTTACTTCCTTCGAAAACCCCTGTTCCGATAGCATTTTTTTTCTTCTCGCAGTTCCTCAACAGTGCAACTTACCTGCCAAGAATTTCCTTCGGTTCGTACTTGGCGTAGAATCCCTTGGCCGCATCCTTGTCCGGCAACAGATCATCCTCTTCGTCTTTGGCCATTTTAAGGTAATTGCTAATTTTCTTCCTACTTGGCCACCACCGATCACTTGCGTTGGCCGATCACCCAAGTTGAAGTTGACGAGAAAAGAAAATTACATGCACAAATTGCTCCTGAGATTAGAAAATCGCGATAGCTAAACCATCCGTATTCTGCCCGTCGATAAACTCAAAAAGAAAGGCAATGAAATAACTTCCGTTTTTATTTTCTTGCCTTGTGCAAGAAAAACTCTACTTCTAGCGAATTGCTACTGACCGCGACCGATTCACAGAGAGGAGTGAGCTCCACCGAATGCGAACAGTTTCAATGTCAGAAAGGTTAAAGCCGCACACGGTGTGTTCAGTATGGTGAATGATGACGGCAAAGAGCGAGCCAAAGCAAACCGTGAATGATGTGGTTATGGACGCTCGCTCGCTCGAGGTGAGAAACTGCAAAACTGTCACTCTCTTCGGATCACTCTCAGCAAACCAGAAGTAAAATCCAAAAGCAACACACCACACATAGAGAGCGAAGTTTTCCCACACACGAATTTCTGTCAAATCAAAACAACTCAAAAAGGGGCACGACACGCACCAATACACCGATCCACATCAACAACGTGACACACAAAAGATCAACCTTCGTCTCTCCACTTGCACAAAATTCTGTTATCACACGATAATCACCGCAATCGACGAAGGTTACTATTTTATCCACGACAGCACAAATACACTCGTGTTAATACTATTTTCCCACTATATTAGAAACCTAAAAGCTCACGACACACATGCCAAATGCCACGCTGTTTCGTGCTTCTGTGCCGTGGTTGCTGCGAAAAAGACAGGTGTTGCGTAAAATGCAGGTGCAATCCTTAATCCACTTTTCCCGAATGGAAATTTTGCATCGCAAAAAAAAAACAAGAACTGAAAAGCTGCTTCCTGCGTGGATGCGAGTTCGGGAGCGACTGGTTGGGTGGCACTAATACAAATGCATACTGTTGGCTCACGGCTCACCGTCGTCGCCATTGGTCATTCTCACGTTAGTGCGGTGTGAGAAATGGATCTGTCAGTGTGACACTAGTTTCGAGTGTAAAAGATATTGCGAATTGCATGAACATTTTTATTTATATTTTTGATGTCTTCGGCGCACTCATTGGTTCATACACACTCAGCTAAATTTTGCTTGTTCGGTAATGTATTACCGAAAATATTCGGTAATTTCCGCCGTATGAATAACTCCAGTAGCTTTTGCTGATCGAAGAATTTCTCATACACCGTCCATCCCCTGGTCCATCCACCGAAAAGTTAATTATCGTTATTATCCATAATCCTCCTGTCGGTAATCTGGGCCCTTATTACCGATTCATGGTGAAGTGGCAACTTATCACTCACGGTGAAGTGATTCCCATTTCATTTGCACGGCAATCACATTCGGTGGGCATTCTCTAGGAATGGTGGTAAACGGACAATTTTTAGATTTTCCTGCAGATAAGAAAGGAATTAGCAAATATCCAATGTGCATCAGCTATATTTACCTCTCTGGTATTAAAAGTTAGTTACATGACAAACTATGAGACCATGTAATGCTATCCAATATCCGATACTTATTTCATGCTGTATGCAGTTAGCATTAACTGATCCTGTTGGTGCAACCATTCTAATACGATGAAACAGTCTCAAGCGGTCGTTTGATCTTTTAAAACGACCTGTGACAGCATCCAAAGCATGGTCGATTTTTGTATGGTTATTTTTTTTTTTCATCTAGTTCGTTTATTTGGAAGGCTTAATCGCGTTAGCTTTACGGAGCCGATGCACTGTGTGTAACAAAATTCACTTAATTCTATGTCTAGTAGGAGTTGGGCCGATTACTCGCGGCTTACTCGAGGTTAGAAGGGTACATTTTCGAAGGATAGGATCAGGGGAGAAGCTTGGGGTAGGGTTTCGTTGTCTCATCAGAGCGTTGTCGCCAGTATGAACGGTAGTGCTGTTCTAGCATCGTCCGGAGTTCGACCGGCTATGGTGGGTGACCAGTGGGCGACGATGAGACTCATCGAGGCGGGGGGACAAGACAAACAAAAACTAATAAAGAGAGACAAAAGACAAAAGGAATTAAATTCTTATACTAGACATTTGAAGAAAAACATAAACGGACTGCATATAGCAGAGATCACGGGTTGCCAACACGTCTCTGATAGGAACATAGGGTTGTCTTCCTTGGGCCTCGAGGGTATTCAAAAGTCGCTCTCTGGCGACGTCATTATCCGTACATTGCCAAACTGCGTGTTCGATGTCATCGTAACCGTTTCCACACCGACAGATGTTGCTGTCCACGAGGTTTATTCTATTGAGATGAGCATCTGGCGAGTAGTGGTTGGACATAAGTCTACTCATCACGCGAATGAAGTCACGACTTAAGCCCAAGCCTTTAAACCACGCTCTCGAAGAAACATTAGGAATAATTGAATGTAACCACCGTCCAAGATTTCCAGTGTCCCAATCGGTTTGCCAACTCGAAAAGGTACTCTGACGCACTAAATGGTAAAATTTAGAAACACTGGAATAAGAGACCAGCGGAGAAAAAAAACATGAATTTGGCAACAAGATAAACATCAAAGCAATCCTGGCATTACTTGCATTTGTAACTGCTTGCGAGTGACTTCGCCAATGCACCGACGAGCGAGTTCATGAGTGATTCTTAAATGATGTTAATACTCCTCCCTAATTGAAGCAAACCATTTGTAAACATTTCAGATTGGAACCGCTTTTGACAGTTCGATTGGAATCATAACAGTGTCTCCGCTGGTCTCTTATTCCAGTGTTTCTAGTAAAATTCATCGTGTGAAATTTGCCTGTCATACAATTCGCCTTCCTGCGCGCCCACCTTTGCGAGAGAGTCCGCCTTCTAATTGCCTGGGATTGAGCAATGTGAGGGGACCCATACAAAGGTAATCATATATGATTTTTCGACCAGCACACACATCTGCTCCCTTACCTTTGAAAGGAAATAAGATGAGTGCCTACCTTGTTTCATCGACCGAATAGCCTCAATCGAACTGAGACTATCCGTGAAGATGAAGTAATGGTCTGCGGGCATGTTGGAAATCATCCCCAATGCGAAGTTGATTGCTGCCAGCTCAGCAACAAAAACGGAACAAGGTTCCTGGAGTTTGCGGAAGGCGCTAGAGTTTTCATTGAAGACACCGAAGCCAGTGGATCCATTGAGACGGGACCCGTCTGTAAAATATCTGTTCATGCAATTGACTTGTTGGTACTTTTCAGTAAAAATACGCGGAATAATAATTGGTCGAAGTTGATCGGGAATCCCATGAGTTGCTTGTTTCATGGTCAGATCATATTCAATTGAGGAACTGCGATTGGTGGAGTGAGCACGGTCTGGAGTATAACAAGGAAGACACATGTCCGACGATATGTAGTGGTGGTAGATTCTCATAAATCGAGATTGTGTGTTCAGCCCAAGAATTTCTTCAAAAATTGCAATTATAAGTGTGTTCGTCACTCCGCATTTGATTAGTATTCTGAGAGAGAGCTCCCAGAAACGGTTCTGGAGGGGTGTTACTCCTGCCAGAACCTCGAGACTCATGTTATGCGTTGAGTGCATACAGCCTAGAGCAATACGCAGACAACGATATTGAATTCGTTCCAATTTTATTAGGTGACTTTTTCTTGCCGAGAGAAAGCAGAAAGAGCCGTACTCTAGAACAGAGAGAATAGTTGTTTTATAAAGCGTTATGAGGTCTCCCGGATGAGCACCCCACCATGTGCCGCAAATTGAACGGAGAAAGTTGATCCTCTGCTGACATTTTTGCTTCAAATACGTAATATGGGCATTCCAAGTGCACTTTGAATCAAACCAGACCCCAAGGTACTTGAAAGACAACGATTGGGTAATGTTTCTGCCCAAAAGATTAAGATGCATTTGGGCTGGGTACCGCTTTCGAGTAAACACTACCAGTTCAGTTTTCTGCGGCGAGAATTCGATCCCTAGATTCCTAGCCCAAGAAGACAAGTTATCTAAGGAACATTGCAATGGTCCTTGCAAGTCCACGGCATGTGGACCTCTTACGGAAACCACACCGTCATCTGCAAGTTGTTTTAGCGTGCATTGTTCTGCCAAACAGTTGTCGATATCTTTGACATAAAAGTTATAAAGAAGAGGGCTGAGACATGAGCCTTGGGGCAGGCCCATGTAACTAATTCTGGAAGTTGTCAGTTTTCCAAGAGAAAAGTTCATTTGCTTTTCTGACAACAAATTGTACAAGAAATTATTTAAAATTCCAGAAAGTCCACATCTGTGCAGATTGTCTGACAGAATTTCAATGGAAACTGAATCAAAAGCCCCCTTAATGTCCAAGAATACTGAAGCCAATTGCTCCTTGTGTGCAAAGGCCAGTTGAATATCTGTGGAAAGCAGCGCTAGACAATCGTTTGTTCCTTTGCTCTTGCGGAACCCAAACTGTGTATTTGATAGCAAGTTATTTGATTCGACCCAGTGATCGAGTCTCCGAAGGATCATTTTCTCCAACAATTTCCTAATGCACGAAAGCATAGCAATCGGACGGTATGAGTTATGGTCAGACGCTGATTTGCCAGGTTTTTTAATGGCTATTACTTTGACCTGTCTCCATTCAGGCGGTACAATGTTGTTTTCTAGCAAGGAATTGAATAAATCTAGCAAGCGTTTTCAGAAGATTGAATTTAATCATATCGCTTCCCGGTGAGGAGTTGTTCGATGAAAGAAGAGCCATAGAGAAATCCAGCATTGAGAATGGTCTATCCAGAGAGCCGCCGCTAGGAGACGCTTCTCGAAGAATATTTTGTGCTGGAACTGAGTCCGGACAGACCTTTTTAGCGAAATCGAATATCCATCGGTTGGAGTATTCTTCACTCTCATTGAAAGATAAGCGGTTACGCATGTTGCGAGCCACCCTCCACAAGGTGTTCATTAAGGTTTCTCGTGAGTGTCCCTCGACGAAATTGCGCCAATAACCGCGTTTTTTTTTTTGCTTTGATTAATTGTTTCACCTTTGTTTCAAGCTTTGAATATTCCTCGAAGTATGTGGAGGTTTTGTGTCTACGAAAAGCTTTGAAAGCATCAGATTTTTCTACACACAATTTTGTACATTCTTCGTCCCAACCAGGTGTGGCTGGTCTCCTTTTAAAGGGTGCACTTGGAACTTTGCTTTTTGTGCTTCCAGTGAGCTTTTGTAAATCAAATCGGCTAGGAATCGATATTCTTCCAATGGTGGAAGCGCATCTATTGATTCGACACCGATTGTCACCGCCGTTGCATATTTCTGCCAGTCGATGTTCCTTGTAAGATCAAATGGAACCCGAGATGATTCTGCAGAGTGAGGGATCATTGGGGATCATTGATAACCTTCCACTGACAATCCAATGATAGCGATCTTGAACACAAAGATAGGTCGAGTCGGCTTTCTCGAGCCGGAGGTTTTGCTATACGTGTCGCTTCACCAGTGTTCAAAATAGTCAAATTGAAATCGTCACATAAATCGTAAAAAATAGCCGCTCTATTGTCGTCATATAGATCGCCCCACCCAGTACCATGGGAGTTCATATCACCCAGAATTAATACTGGGAATGGAAGAATCGAAACTAGATTCCAGAGTTGACTACGGCTAATGGAGGTTCTTGGTGGAACGTATACTGAAGCTATGCAAAGATCTTTGTTCTTCACATTTATTTGGCAAGCAACGATTTCGACGCCGGATAGAGCAGGAAGGGAAATTTTGTAGAAAGGGTAGCACTTTTTGATCCCTAAAAGTACTCCTCCATAAGAATCGTCTCTATCCAGGCGTATAATGTTAAAATCGTGGAAGTTGAGTTCTTTATCGGAAGAAAGTCATGTTTCACAGAGAGCAAATATATCACAATCAGAATTGTGAAGTA